TAACCATCTCATCCTTTGCCGTCCCCTTCTTCTTTGACCTTCAATCTTTCCCAGCATCAGGGTCTTCACCAGTGAGTGCTCCCTTCTCATTTGGTGATTTGAGGAATAGCATGCATCATATTCCCCAAGAAGTGCGGGAAGGAGCAGTGCTGCAGCTGCCCCCATACCATTGGAATAATGTAAGAACTCTTCTCCTCAGGGTCCCTATTTTCCATATAGAACAGATACAGATGGGGTGGAAATGGAGAGGGAAAGGGTTAAATTAATCAGATGTTGTCCTGCCTGGTAGTCAATTCTACATCATAATGTTAATTTCTAAGGCCATAATTCTGACTCCCAATGGTAGAACCACAACTGGCTTTAAAACAGTTGGAGTTTTACTTCTTTATCATCTTTATTTGAACCTACACTTGCTTGTAGATTGCCTTGTGGAAAACATCTCATTAACAAGGTTCGGAAAAGATCCGGGTATGGGAAGAATCCATTTTATTATTGTGAAACACTTCATTTTTGCCAAATACTTTCATGATAGCCCATAACAATCATACACATTTATTAAGTTTATCTTCTGAACTTGCTTTCTTGAGTTTCCAAAACTCTTCCCAGACAAGCAAGCCAGAAACATATCTTGCTTAATTACTATGCTGATTAATCTGTTCTGCTATCTCCAGTTAAATGATTTAAAAAAACAGAGATTTTTCAGTCTGAAGGCTATTTTTAAGCTGGAGCACATTTTTTAATAAATACTGTTGTTTCCCCCTTTAACAGTAATCCTTGAGGCATTCACTAAGAATTTATCTACTAAGAGCAACATTTTCTTCACTGAAGTTGTTTTTAATCTCAGTATCTCAACAGTATCTTTTTGTTGACTTTTCACAGTAAGGATTGACTGGTATTATGATCATGGTATCCATCTCAGGAATAGCTTCTGTGCTCATACTTTTTTTTTTTAATAATGTAATGTTATTGCTCTGATGACAGACTCATAAAATTAGTAGCTGATGGAATGGTCAGATATTCAGTAATTCAACTGTCAGAAATAATTGTTAGTTCGCAAACATATATTTAGTATAATTAAAAGTATATGCCAAAATTCAACAATCGTGATCACTTGATGGTTTATAGCAATGTGTTAACTAATTTAGTATTCTCCCCACATTTCTAAGATGCGAAACATAGTTCACTCACAATCACAAAATACATACCAGCATAGTCTGAATTGGATCCAATACAATGGCAGAAACTACTTGCAGCTATAGCATAACTCAGTTAATATTGTCTCACCGGTTATATATCACATTCTCCTGCCTTCGTCAATCAGGGCCAGGAATGGCATTGTACTTTGGGGGCGCAGGGATGAGATGCTGCTGATAGCGTTCGTCCATACTTACCAGTTACAGTGTGAGACTCCTGTGCATCCTAATGAAATTGCTATCTGCACAACCATAAAGAAAGAGGAATGCCCACTGCCACAGAATGTCAGATGCACCAAACCCAGCAGCCTAATTTTCAAGGCAGTCCTCTTATGGCATCCTAATGCACCTGGAACATAAAATGGCAGAAAGGTAACCAGTGTTAGTGTAAGAGAATAAACTGGTTTTTCCCTCTAGAATACTGTTGATTTATGACTAGTTTTGTTAAAGAAAAAGTAGGTGCCTATAACTCAATACTTGGTAAGTTACTCCAAAGCAATATGTGAACTTCAGCTTCCTGTAACCCTGCAGTTCCATCCTGAACATGTACATCTTTCCTCTGCCAGCCTGATCTCTTTCACAGATTTACATCTCATCCTTTGGCCCTTCATTTCCTCTCATTACTCTGGACCACTCTCTCTTTCAGCCCCCTGCTGTCTTCTGGCCTATTATGCACAGTTTTTTCACTCGCTTTCACCGTGCACGTCCATTGAGTTTTCTTTTTCATTCTGCATTGATTTTCCTCCCTTCAGGCCTCAGTTTGCTTTCTGGTCACTGTTTCCTCAAGTTTTCTGAGAATGCTTTTGTGCCGATTTTTCCCTTGTTTCACTTCCAAGCTGAAGGTAATTAAAAAATGTACAGATTCCCTCGGATTTCTCCCTGCCCTTTTGCCATCCCTCAAAGATCACTCCCCAGCCTACATCAAGGTAATTCCATCCACTCTGCACCTTCCATCACCCTCCCCATTTCATTGGTGTACAAGCTCCATTGATTAAATTCTTAATTTTTATGACAAGCGGCATGAGTCTAGCAATATGAGACTATCGCTAATCTTGGATCACTAGATTAAAAAAAATGACTGGGAGAATCAAAAAGTTGTGCAAGAGGATGTAATCCATCTTGGGCTTATGTTCACAGTGCTGGAGATAGTTAGATGGGCAGGAATGACTAGTCTCGGATTGCTGAATTAAAAAAATTAAAACTATGAGGGAAAAGTTTAAAATGAGTTGCGTGAAGTTTAGTTCCCTGGTAGTATTGATTTGAAAGGGGGACTGAAGAGGAGCCAAATGGCAGTGTCCTCAGTGCAAAAAAAAAAGATTTCAGTGCTGCATGCAAACAGAATAAAGGGGGGAGACCCTCAGCAAGGAATGAAATTGACATGAGATGGAAAGAGAGAGAGAGACACTAGGATGGGAAGCTTAAAGCTTTGCAAACATTTTTCCCTTTAGAAGAAGAAGAGATTGGATTTATACCCTGCCCTTCACTACTCAAAGGAATCTCAGAGTGGCTTACAATCCCTTTCCCTTCCCCTCCCCACAACAAACACCCTGTGATGTAGGCAGGGCTGAGAGAGCTGTCTTGAGAACTGCCCTTAAGAGAACAGTGCTGAAAGAACTTATGACTGACCCAAGGTCACACCAGCAGCTGCATGTGGAGGAGTGTGGAATTAGACCCAGTTTTCCCAGATCAGAGTCTGTGCTCTTAACCATGGAAGAAATCAGTTCAGGAACAGCTTTTAAAAACTGCCAAGATCACAACCAGTATGCTGGATCAAATTAGAAAATCACAAAGAGAAAATCACACACATTTGCAAGGGAGGGCAGGAAATTAGTGTTACTGTGTAGCTGCACTAGGGCATCAGCAAAAATACCATTTCTTTTTCAATTAGTGGCACAAGTCTAAAAAAAGTTCTCCAGAGCTTCTGCCAGAGGACTCCTTTCCCATAAAAAACTGCAGCCCTGTGCAAAGCGTGGTGGAGTTGCAACCAACTTTGCACAGATATACACACACTCATATTGCCAGCGATCAAAACATTCAGTGCCAGTGTCATTGGTTTCTACTGTGCATTCTGTACATCCAGCATGTTCTCCCCTATTATGAGATCATGTGACTATTTTCCTTTTTTCACAATGGCCAGTAACACAGCAGAGAATCCCCTAGTGCTTGGCAATATGGAAAATGGGGCTTGTCAGTTTCAAAAATAGTATTGTCAGTTTCAACAATGGGTTTCCCCCCTTTGCCTACATTCCTTTGTGTTCCCTTTCATTCAAGGAACTAACACTTAAATGCTTGCGCAAAAACTGAACCATGAGGATTTAAATGGAAAGTGTTTGCTGGATGCTACTGCACATCTGCGATAGGGCAATTGCATGAATTAAAACAAACTTTGGACGCCACCCCCCACACATCATAAGTGACATTTCAGCCTGATTTAGAAAAGTGCATTTTAAAAATTGTAGCTGCAGAATGAATACACTGGAGGAAAAAGAATGCTGCATAAGACAGGCACAGAATCTGAAGTCAAGCTTAAAGGCTTACTGCTCGGAAAATCTGCAGTAAGCTGTGCATGCGTAATAAGCCCGTCTCCCTCTTTACTGACTCAGTTTCTTCTCCTTTATTTTTTGGGCTGTCCTGCCCTCTCTATTCTCATCTCAGGCATCTGAACCTAGAGACTTTTGAAATCTGTGACATTGGGCCAGCTCAGCCAGCGATTGTATGGAAATTCTCTGCAAGCAGTACCCCCAACTGTCTTTGTGAAATAATCTACAGATATTTATTAACAGGAAACTTTTCACAGAGTATACCACTCTGTCCCTGTATTGGTCCAAGGGTCAGGAGCCCAGCTTTGCACTCCACCTTGAGGTGCCTCTAGTGGGGTCTAGGGAGGTCTAGGGAGACAGGAGAGATGTGTGATAGAGAGGATATGACCCCAATAGGTAAGTGGAATGTGAAATGGCCAAAGAAACTAACAGTATGAGAGAATATGGACGAGCTGGCCCACACTTTGCCTGAGGCCCAGGCAGTACAGCAGATTTACCAAACTGAAGACAATGAGAGTTATGGAACTACCTATGAGCAGGGGTCATTTCCTGCAGGAGTGCGCAGGAGCGGAGCTCCGGCAGTAAAGAGCCCAGCGGGTGGGCACATGCAACAAGCCCCACCCCCTGCTCCCAGCAGCCCTCAGTCAGAGCAAGAAGCAGCCAGGTAAGTGGCAGAGCTCCCCCCCGCCCCCCCAGCCCAAAACAGTCCAGTGGCACCTTTAAGACTAAGTTTTATTCAGGTACAAGCTCTCCCTCCTCTGCGAGGACAGATTTGCAGTCCCCCCCCCAAATAGCTAGCAATCCAAAACAGTCCAGTGGTGCCTGAGCGGTGGGTGTTGCCTTCTGACACACTTCTGGTGATGTCAGGGGGTGTGGCATATACAAATAAGTTATGCTAATGAGTTACGCTAATGAGCTCCTGCGCCTCTTTTTCTACGAAATAACCCCTGCCTATGAGAGAGGTGGAAGGTGGCTGCTGTGATGATCCCCCTGGCTGAGCATGTAAAGCAGCAAAAGACCCTGAGCCAAATCAAGGGTGTCTAGCTGTGGGGCATATCAAAAGCCACTGTAATGTTTGTGCTAAATAAAGTTAAGTATCTGCCCACTGAGAGCTGCGTCTTCCCCCTTTAATGTGCCACTCCTGTCAGAGGTGCTCACCAGCATCAACATTATAAAAAAACAGATTTTCTAATATTATTTCATCTCACTGAAATATTGCTCTACAAGCCAGCTTTTGTGTGAATTTCCCATGTTTGTTCTTATCCAGATGCCAGCTCTAAGGTTTTGAGTCTTCTGAAACTGAAGTCTGCAAGTAGGAAAACATCATGATCCCAGAGAAGAGCTTCATTGTTTATTCCTACCATGATCAATGGTAATAGTATTCATTAGGTGTACCTGAATGTATTTTATTTTGTAATTACTCACCTGGGAGATGTCATCTGTTCTTGGAAGAAAAGTAAACTTTGGCAAGCTCAACATTGTCTAGCCCCGTGAATTAAATCTTCACATCCATGGTAGATGAAAATGAACCGAATCATCAAAGCACTAAGAGAAGCTCTTTAAATTTCGATGTGCTTCTAATGAGATTATCTGGAACAAAAACCAGAGGGCTTTAGTTGTGTGTTTGGTGGAACGCTACTTTCCTCAGATGCTTGGCACCTATATATACTTAATAAAAGCATGCATATAGGATCATCCCAAATTCCCAGAGCATATTCTTATGTGTGTGGCCATTGTGTGTGACGTTACTTCCCACTCCCAGAACAGAATGTCCTCCCATCCCCCTGCCGGTGGGCGAAAGGGACCTGGCAACCCTAGTGGCAACCTGGCAGAGGAACTTCTCTGTTGTTTCCCTGAAACTTCAGAACTCTATTCCCAGACAGTCGCTTGTACTCTTCTGTTGCCACCTTCTGCCAGCAGGTGAAGACTTTTCTGTTTTGTCTGGCATTCCCTCCCTGATCTTCCTTTTTACCCTGTTTTTAACTGTTGTCTATATCTATTTTATTGTATGAGTATATTAACGATTTTAATTGTTTGAGTGATATGTCATTGTTTTAATGTTTATAAAGAAGTTTTAAGATGTCTTTTTATTATGTATATTTTAAAACTGTTAGCCACCATGGAGCCCTGATGAAGGCAGAAAGGCGGGGTATAAATTTTGTAAATAAATACACTGGAGCCCTGTGAAGGACTCAACAGTGCCATCCTCAGCAGAGTTACACTACTCTAAGCCCACGGGGGATGACACTGCTGAGGATGGCATTGTAAGTGTTGCATACTTCTTTATTCCTTTAAACAGATTCTGATTGTAAAGACGTCTTGCATCTCTCTCTTTTCTCCCCAAGCAAAAGTTTTCTAAGATTTTTAATATGTTTAGCTTCTCTTCAGATGGAGGAGATTCTGATGGAGGATTGTCTTTATTCTTTCAACTGTGCTGTCTTCTGTTCTACCTGTCAGATACCCCTGACTGGCTCACACCCGGAAGAAGGGAAA